TATACAGTGCCTTGCGGAAGTATTCGGCCCCCTTGAACTTTGTGACCTTTTGCCACATTTCAGGCTTCAAACATAAAGATATAAAACTGTAATTTTTTGTGAAGAATCAACAAGTGGGACACAATCATGAAGTGGAATGAAATTTATTGGATATTTCAAACTTTTTTAACAAATAAAAAACTGAAAAATTGGGCGTGCAAAATTATTCAGCCCCCTTAAGTTAATACTTTGTAGCGCCACCTTTTGCTGCGATTACAGCTGTAAGTCGCTTGGGGTATGTCTATCAGTTTTGCACATCGAGAGACTGAAATTTTTGCCCATTCCTCCTTGCAAAACAGCTCGAGCTCAGTGAGGTTGGATGGAGAGCGTTTGTGAACAGCAGTTTTCAGTTCTTTCCACAGATTCTTGATTGGATTCAGGTCTGGACTTTGACTTGGCCATTCTAACACCTGGATATGTTTATTTGTGAACCATTCCATTGTAGATTTTGCTTTATGTTTTGGATCATTGTCTTGTTGGAAGACAAATCTCCGTCCCAGTCTCAGGTCTTTTGCAGACTCCATCAGGTTTCCTTCCAGAATGGTCCTGTATTTGGCTCCATCCCTCTTCCCATCAATTTTAACCATCTTCCCTGTCCCTGCTGAAGAAAAGCAGGCCCAAACCATGATGCTGCCACCACCATGTTTGACAGTGGGGATGGTGTGTTCAGGGTGATGAGCTGTGTTGCTTTTACGCCAAACATAACGTTTTGCATTGTTGCCAAAAAGTTCGATTTTGGTTTCATCTGACCAGAGCACCTTCTTCCACATGTTTGGTGTGTCTCCCAGGTGGCTTGTGGCAAACTTTAAACGACACTTTTTATGGATATCTTTAAGAAATGGCTTTCTTCTTGCACCTCTTCCATAAAGGCCAGATTTGTGCAGTATATGACTGATTGTTGTCCTATGGACAGAGTCTCCTACCTCAGCTGTAGATCTCTGCAGTTCATCCAGAGTGATCATGGGCCTCTTGGCTGCATCTCTGATCAGTCTTCTCCTTGTGTGAGCTGAAAGTTTAGAGGGACGGCCAGGTCTTGGTAGATTTGCAGTGGTCTGATACTCCTTCCATTTTCCATTTCAATATTATCGCTTGCACAGTGCTCCTTGGGATGTTTAAAGCTTGGGAAATCTTTTTGTATCCAAATCCGGCTTTAAACTTCTCCACAACAGTATCTCGGACCTGCCTGGTGTGTTCCTTGTTCTTCATGATGCTCTTTGCGCTTTAAACGGACCTCTGAGACTATCACAGTGCAGGTGCATTTATACGGAGACTTGATTACACACAGGTGGGTTCTATTTATCATCATTAGTCATTTAGGTCAACATTGGATCATTCAGAGATCCTCACTGAACTTCTGGAGAGAGTTTGCTGCACTGAAAGTAAAGGGGGCTGAATAATTTTGCACGCCCAATTTTTCAGTTTTTTTATTTGTTAAAAAAGTTTGAAATATCCAATAAATTTCGTTCTACTTCATGATTGTGTCCCACTTGTTGTTGATTCTTCACAAAAAATTACAGTTTTATATCTTTATGTTTGAAGCCTGAAATGTGGCAAAAGGTCGCAAAGTTCAAGGGGGCCGAATACTTTTGCAAGGCACTGTATATATGAATTCCCCACTCGCCCCCCACTTTGGGGCACTTTGGGGGAGCTTGAGGGTCCTGCACAGTATCTTAGCTGTTCCTAGGACTGCACTCTTCTGGACAGAGGTCTCAGATGTTGTTCCTGGGATCTGATGGAGCCACTCTCCCTGTTTGGGGGTCACAGCCCCCAATGTTCCTATTACCACGGGGACCACTTGTGCCTTCACCTTCAACATCTTTTCTAGCTCTTCTTTCAGCCCTTGGTATTTCTCAAGCTTCTCGTGTTCCTTCTTCCTGATGTTGCTATCGCTTGGGATTGCTACACCTATCACTACAGCCCTCTTCTTCTGTTTGTCCACCACTTCTATGTCCAGTTGGTTGGCCATTACCAGTTTGTCAGTTTGTATCTTGAAGTCCCACAGGATCTTAGCTTGATCATTCTCAACCACCTTTGGAGGTGTATCACATTTTGACTTTACACACTTTTTTATTTTATCTAATCTTCTTTACTTGTCTACTCATTGCTTTACAGAAGAACATTGCGCTGTACCAGAGTCACATTCCTCGTGTGTCCAACACACCCAGCCAGTAAAGTCGATTCTGATGTTTAAAAAAAAAAAAACTTTGTTATATGATAGAAATAAAACTAACCTTATCTAATCTAATAACCAAGAGACACCATGATATCAATTATGCATTGGTGTGAGTAAAAAAGCCAGCCGTCCCTGGTAGGGTAGTTGTTAAGGTGCAGCGCTCTCGCTGCTGCGGCCCGGGTTCGAATCAGGGTTGCGTCAGGAAGGGCATCTGGCGTAAAACATGTGCCAAATGTCAACATGAGTCGTCAGTGTGACAATTCGCTGTGATGACCCCTAAACGGGAAAAGCCGAAAGTGACCTTCTTTCTGCGAGTAAAAAGCCAGTTCTACTAGAACATATTCCTCCCCTGAAGCTCAGTGGGGACAAAAAAGGGAAATTTGTCCTAAATAGGTTAACTCTGAAACATACTGACACAGCTGAAGCTGTATTTGAGCTTCATATAAACCTTGGGGTGGACATCTCCAATTTACAACGACTAAGACCCACTCTCACATACATATAGGCATGTCAAGACTGTTTAATGACCAACTTTAAAAATCCTGAACCTATCTTATCCTTTAAAGTAAATGAACATGCCTCCTGTCTTCATGACTCTTTTAATACTGTATTGCAACTTATTCTACCTTGTTGGTATAAAAATATAGTATATAGAAAATACCTGACACCAAATCACACAGTAATAATAATGGTTTACAGTAAACCCTGACCACAGGGATCGTCTTTACTTCAGTTTCTTAGGTAATACAGTACATGGAATGGGCAGGTGAGGTGAATTCACATCCATTTATGGACTACTCTGGAAGTCTCAATGGGGCCTGTGCATGTGCGATCAGTTTCTCATGAGAAAGGAAGAGATAGGAAAGGTGCACATTTTCAGACAGACAGTCTCTTCTGGAAGGCATTCTTATTGTTGTTCACATGAAAAGTGACAGAAATACCTTTGTCAAGAATGAAAGAAGCATTAAAGAGAGAAGTTTATACCTCAGCTATTTTCCTACCTTCACACAGCTCGCCAATCACTGAATGAAGTGAGTGTGAACATCAGTTTGATTGATCTGACAGAGCCCACTGTCCCCCACCCCCCATTATCTATTCAACCGAGGATAAACATGTCAAAGAGACCTCTCATATGCAACTGTAAGTAATCACCTATATTACCTCTCTCCTCTTCCTGTTTCTTCAAACCCACTGATTTTGGTCTACCCCGTCCCCTCCGGATAGGATCTGATTGACTGTTGGCCCGGGATCTTCTCCTGTTCTCCATGTCATGGGTTAAAGGAGAGTCACTTCTCTCTCTGCGAATACGCTCTGTCCTCCTCCGCTTCAAGTCCAGTTTGTCTAAAACATGGGTAATTAAAAAAAGATAAAAATAAAAATATATAAACATTTCTGTCTTGATACCAACACGCGCCACCCCCCCCCCCCCCCCCCTTTGGGGCCAAATAATGGGTAAACATCATTTAACTAGTAATACTGAGCTTCTGCTCTTTGGCACATTTAATTGTGCACTGACTAACTCATTTCATCAGCAAAGTCTGGTTTTGTGCTCACTGACTGCTGACTCCCTGACAAAGACTGTATATAAGAATGGAACACATGACAGTTTCCCAGAAGTGAAGCCAAAATATCTCAACTACCCCCCGGCGGCTGTCTGCAGTATAGGTCATAAAACCTGTGTTAGCAGATGGAACATTGCATTTTGAAATCTTTATATATTTAAACACACACACACACACACACACACACACACACACACACACACTATAGGGACAAAAGTATTGGGACACACACTTCTTAATTATTGAATTTAGGTGTTTCAATCACAGCCATTGCCACAGCTGTATAAATCAAGCACCTATCCATGCAGTCTCCATTTACAAACATTTGTGAAACAAAATGGGTCATTCTGAAGAGCTCAGTGACAGAGGATGCCATCTCTGCAATAAGATGGTTGGTGAAATTTCATCCCTGTTGGATATTCCATGGTCAACTGTAAGTGGTATTATTGGAAAGTGGAAGCGTTTAGGAAAAGCAGCAACTCAGCCATGAAGCAGAAGACCACGTCAAGTCACAGAGCGGGGTCAACAACTGCTAAGGTGCATGGTTTGTAAAAGTCACCAACACTCTGCTGATTCCATAGCTGAAGAGTTCTAAATGTCCACTGGCATTAATGTAAGCACAAAAACTGCACAGCAGGAGCTTCATGGAACACGTTTTCATGGCTGAGCAGCTGCAGGCAAGCCTCACATCACCAAGTCCAATGCCAAGTGTTGGGTGTAGTTGTGTAAAGCACACTGCCACTGGACTGTGGAAATGTGTTCTGTGGAGCGACAACTCATGCTTCTCTGGCCGTCAGATGGGTGAGTCTGGGTTTAGCAGATGCCAGGATTTTGTGTTTTGTTACTTTTGTAGAACTATGGTTGCACATATAAAAGCCAGATCAATGTAGCACATGCCAAGCACCCATATAACACAGCAAGTGGCTTAAACATTTTGTCAGTTACATTTATTCAAGGTCCCTGCAGCACCTATCAAAATGGGAGTGAGTTATTTTACTTTGTTTCAGAAAACACAAAATTAAATTATCAGTTGTTTGTGATTGCCTTCAGCACTTGTTCATCTGAATTGTGAGATAAAAATACAAATTACAGAAAAACATGGTTACTCCAACACAAATGAGGGATGAGTAATCTGTGGGACAGGTAAGCATCTTTTAATTTTAATAGGAAACAGATAGTATAGCCATTTTAATGATAAGAAATGATATTTTCCAAGTACATAAAACTTGCTTAAAGTAATAATGGAATCTGTCCTGTTCCTCTAAATGAGACTGAGTGAGTGGTCGTGCAATGCGAGATGTTACTGTCCACAGGTTGATCACAGATGATGGACTTGTGCCTTTTAAGTTGAAGATATTTCGTGCTTAATAAAAATTACATATGGTGTAACTTCTGTTGAGACAATTCTGTGATCACAAACTCATTTGGTTGAGTACACTGTTCTGAGAGGTCTGCAAAAGGCCAATGCAAACGTTTAAAAAATAAACAAAAAGGTATGAATCTCAGATTCGTTCAGGTCTCTATTTTTAAATGCTCTATTTTTATTCCTATTTATCTCATTTCACAAGGAGCATTCCTTTGTCTGTCTGCATTGTTTACTGCCTGTTAATACTGCTTATTTTATTATATTATACAGCCTTATGCTGGTTTACTGTTTACTTGCCCCTTGCATGAGGATATGTACATACACATTGAGAGCCTATGTACCAGAGTCAAATTCCTTGTGTGTCCGACACACCTGGCCAGTAAAGCTGATTCTGAGACAACAGAGGATTCAGGACCACAGCTGGATCCAGTACAAACATTAGTCATGATTTCAAGCTTAAGATATAGTCAAAAGGAAGTGAAGTCTAAGTTTATTTAGCAAGTTGATGTTGTTTAGCTTAGTTTTCTGCTCTGATCAGAAATTCTAAAACACTAGTCAACATCTGTGATGAGCTCAGATCTTCAGAATTTTGTAAATGAAGGATGAAATGAAAATATGCCAATTCTGTATTTATTGCTGCGCTGTCCAGTCTGAATTCTAATCTCAATCTCTAGTCTATAGCCAATGAGAGGAAAGCAAAAAACAGAAATACATTAACATATAACAAACTGGTAACACTTTATTTTGGTAGTCTGTTGACACTATGCAAGCCATCAGTAGATATTCAGTCGCTTGTCACCAGTGTATCAGTTGATATTCAACAAGACTCTTTCAACAGACAAGTAACGTGTGTTGAACTGTCAGTAGGTAATATAAATGCATTCCAAGTTGTTAAAGGATTTTACTACAAGTGTGTGCTGACTGTCGTTATGTTTTATGGCAACAGGTTATTTACCGATACTCAACTATCTGTAGATTTGTGTGAGAACTGTACAAAGTCTATAAATGATCTACAGAACAAAATAAGGTTTTGCACAGCTGAGTAGTAACACTGGATAACCGCAAAGTACAGAAAAAGATGCACAATATATGCAGCATGTCAGAGAAGGACAGCTCGCTGACTTGAACCAAATACAAACCTTTCCCAGCAGTGTTACCAAACCAGAAGGGCTGTGACCTCAGCACTACAGCGATCAGTGCATCTCTACAGTAAAGGGGACGAGCTGATTAGTGATAAGTTAATTCATCATCACCAACAGCAATAATGGGAAGATCCTAGTCCTAGTCCTATGTGTGGTTAGCATTCCTTATGTCCTTTAAAAGTCTTCCAAGTACACCATGGTTTGCTAACCAGTAGGTCTACTCTGTGAAGCAGAGCTGTTTTTTAAAGTCTTCTCAGAATGATTCCCCCACATATACCAAATTTCCCTCTTGTATGTCTGCTATGCTCTCTCAATGTTTTGAGTGTGCAGCCCTCTTTGTGGGTCTATACAACTCTGGCTGTGGTTGACCCTGACGCGCCTGTAGTCCTCTTGGGAAAGACGAGCATACATTCTCCACTCATCACTCACAATTAGACTTTGAAGCTTGACATGTTTCTTAATGATGGGAACAAGAGTCTCCTTGTTTCTTTTCTTCACAAGGTAAGAATGGAACATCTGCTTGCAGCCTTGATCTCAAGCATACCAAACACCCATGATCTCTTTCCTCTCTGGGTGTTACCAAAGCGTCCTCTTCCATACTGCCAAAACACAATATGAACAGTATTACAGAACAATTTCGTGACTCTATATGAATTTAATGTGAGTCAGTTGTACCTGCATGATAACACCTTTTTTTAAATCCTGAAATCATTTTAAATTTCTTTTATGACTTTGCTTTGGCGTGAATATTTATTTACTGGTGATAGAAAGGAGCCATTTTTATCTGGCTGTGGTTTTGTTTATAGTGAATGAACTGTTATTAAAGCAGTTTTGTGCTTTTCTCCCTGTGTTGTCTTAACATTGTACTCATGTTGGGCTTCCTAATTTTATGTACATCATTAATAGGACATACTTGGTAAGGAAATGAGGCATGTGTCACCACTCTAAAATGACTCTACATCTCAATAAATGCCTTTATTAATAAAATCTCTTTATTAAGTGATCAACAAATTAGGGGAGACGATTAATGTCCACAGAAAATTTTTACAACCTATCTAACAGTCTCCTCTGCTACTCCTAGTTATATTTTTCCTAAATTATGATTCACATTTATCTCTTTCAGATTTTCTACAATTTAACACGAGTTCATAATTCCAACGCATCTAAAGTCTCCCAGTTTATGCCTTGGATTGTCTTGCAAAAAATCCATGTAAAAGGTTCAACTGACTTCATGGAGCCTTGTAAAATCTTGGAGCATTTGTCACAGGACTGCTCTGAAATTTGCTTTTGAATGGCTACAGTAATCAAATTAATAAGCATCAGCATTTTTTAGTGGAATGAAGAATGTCATTTTCAAAAAAAATCACATCTCCCCTTTCATTTTTTGCAAACAAATTGATTGATTGATTTTATTCTTTCAAACATGCAGAACAGAACAAATGAACAAATGACAACAACACACATAATTTCACATATCCAACCAATACTAATCCAAAATCAGTTTGCTACACCTAATACATGTTTGAATGGAGTAGGAAGAAGTCAGACTTATCCAGTCCTACCCCATGACATCATATTACAAAATTTCATGCATCATCAGCTGCAAGCAGTATCTCTACATAGATAAAACAGAGTGTTTCCTCAATGCCTTCTCGAATAAATCTTATTCTTGCATATATCTTGTATAACACATACATTTATATTTATATTTAAACTCCTCAATTCTAGTACTATTTTTCATGTCCACAGTTAAATTATTCCATAATTTGACCCCACTTATAGAAATACAAAATCTTTTGGTTGTACATATAGCATGAACTTTTAAATTTAAGTGACCCCTTAAGTTATATCCCCCTTCCCTTTCACCAAATAACTTTTGGATTCCACCAGGTAATAAGTCGTTCCTGGCTTTATACATAAACACAGCAGTCTTATATTCCACTAAATCAAAGAACTTCAACAATTTGGACTGTATGAAAACTGCATTTGTGTGATCCCTATACCCCATCTTATGTACAACTCTTATCGCTCTCTTCTGTAATATGTACAATGGTTGAAGTGAACTCCTGTAAGTGTTTCCCCAGTTTTCAACGCCATACTCCAAATATGGCAAAATCAATGAACAATACAAAATCCGCAATGCTTTGACGTCCAGCATATGTCTAACCCTTGCCAATATCGATATATTTTTAGCTATTTTATGCTGAACATAACTGATATGAGATTTCCAGGATAATCTGTCGTCAACCATGACACCCAAAAATTTGATTT